GCCCACTGCCCTGGGGAGCCTGGGCAGTGCCCACCACCCTCTGGGGGAAGAACCTTTCCCTGAGATCCACCCCAAACCTGCCCTGACTCAGCTTCAGGCTGTTTTGTTGAGTCCTGTCACCGGCTTTCCGAAAATCCCTGTAGGAAGAGCACGATTGTAGGGCCAGAAGGGAACTGGGAAGGGACCTGGGGGGAGGAGACCCCAATTTGAAGTCCACCAAGAACCCCAACCTTGCACCACAATCCCTGATCACTCCCACCTCAAGGTCCACTCCCCGCTGCATCTCAAAGCTGTTTCATGCAGTATTTTGGTGTATTCCACACAATCCCAGGACTTCCAAGCCCAGATCCAGCCAAAGGGATGGCCTGTGGGGTCACAGCATTCCCTGTTCCCAAAGCCAGTCTGAATCCCCCCCCCAGAGCACTCAACAGACACCCCGTAGTTCTATTTACAGACTCCCAGCATAACCTGGCCAAATAACCCACACCCTGCTCCCAGGTTTTATACAGGAAGGATTCACTGGCCTGAACTGTGCCAAACAAGCCTGCAAATATTGGGAAAAAAATGAAAATACCACTCTTCAAAGCTCTGTTCTTTAGAGACTGATGTAACTTCAGCTCAATGATAATTGATAATTTAATAATTCCCAGCCTGAATTTTGCTAATTCCAGCACCACGAGCCATTTTTCCCCTTCTGGTCACCACCCTGAACACCAACAGGTGACTGTGGACCCCACCAACAGCCCCCTCTCCACCACAATCTGCCCCCCAAGAAGAGTTCTGGAGCCTGCCCAGCCTCAAGTGCCACAAAACCCTTCCTAAACCACCCCCCCAAAAAATTCCTGGAGCCTCCCTGCCCAGCCAACACCCTCCACTGTCACTGGGAACAAACAAATTACAGGTATTTAAGTGGGATATTTGATATTCAAAGCAGCCCCGAGAGCTTCTCTCACCTTCCACTTGTGACTTCCCCACCAACTCACGCCCTAAGGATCCTAAAAAACCCTCCCTAGCAGAGATCCCAATTCCCAGTGGGAATGGCCAAGCTGCTAATTACTCCCTTCTCCAGGATTGCTGGATTATTCCAAGCCCTGGCAGAGCACATCCATGAGTTCCCAAGTCAAGCAAAGAACGAGCAAAGCCTTTCCACACCTGCAACTTTTAATGGTTGGGGCAGTTCCAGAGCCACCTCTTCAAGAGTGCAAAGTCTTTTGTTTTGTTTTGTTTTTATTTTAAACAGCTTAAAACCAGCGATAAAAAGTAAAATATAAATTTTTATTTAGAATTAAAAGCAAATACTTCAGTATCACAAACACAATATTAAACTTCAAGAAATATACTGCTAATTTGGAGGGAGCATTTATTTGTGGTTTTGTTTTTGCACGACCATGCACACGAAAAAAAAAAAATTAAAAAAGAAAAAAAAAAATCCAGAGGGGGAAAAAAAAAATGTGGAGCCCGAAATTTTCAACATCTCACCACCAACAAAAAAAACCCAAACCAAACAAAATAAAAAAATAAAATAAGCAGCTGGGTCACAACGTTTCGTACAGAGTTATATATATATATAGACTGGAATAAGATGTTGACAAAATTTCTACAGGAATCATCTTTATGGACAACAAGAAAAGCTCTAAAGAGGCAAACATTGCAATCTAATCTTCTTCTGCTGAGTCTCTCTCCAACGTGTAGGCCATGAAGCAAGCGTCTGGTCTCTTGGGGACAAGGGGATGCCCTGGTCTCACAATCTCAAAGCCCAAAAAGCTGAAAGTACGGAGCAATGCAGCTACAAAACATAAAGCGGGAGACAAAAGTTTCACCCACGTGGTACAGCAAAGCTCAGGTGAGAGCTGCAGGTTGTACCTCCAAGGTGCAAAGAGAACCAACACCCACCTCTGTCGTCTCTGTTCTTGTGGAAACAAATGAACACGTGCTCCACTCGAAGCTGTTCCTCAGCGAATTCCAGAAGAACTGCAAAACTGAGGGAGGGAGGGAGGAACGCAAGGTGTCAGTTTTGAATGCACAGGGAATGTCCTGAAGGGACACACGCCAAGGATGGAGTTCAACTCCTGGCCCTGCACAGCCCCAGCAATCCCAGCCTGGGCCTGAGTGCTGCTCCAACACTCCCTGGGCCCTGGCAGGGAAGAGCTTCCCGCAGAGATGGTGAGCCATTCCACACAGAATTCCTAAGGAAGGGGCATGGCTTGGAGCCTGCCACCAACAGGAGATCCCTGAGCCCCAGGCTGACCTTGAGGGCAGAAATCTAAGTCCTAATGACACAGAAGATGTGTTTTCTGTGGCAGCTGAAGGAGGAGCTGCAGTGACAGAGTCTGAGCCAGGCTGGAGTTCCCCAGGGATAAAACAGCCCAAAATCCCTGATACAGTGGGATCCCAAATCCCAGGTGGTTCTGCCTGCAGCTCAAACCAGGACCACTGAGCTGCAGCCTCTCCCAGGAGAGCATCCAGCAGCATAATTTCAGCTTTCAGAACACGAAAAGTTATTCCACCCCACTGCCAAGACAGGAGTTCATCCTGAATTTTCCCTCACCTGTCCTTGCTCCCCTCGGGCAGAGCACCACTGGGAATTTCTATGTAGAGGTTGTTGTTGTTCAGCACTGCTCTCCAATTAATGTGTTTGGCATCTGTAAGCCTTGACTGGACATTGAGAATTCTTGTCCTGTTGTTAGATGTTAGTTCTTCTGTTACATTCAGCCGATTATCCTGCGAATAAATAAGTGCAGGGTTATTTTTTTTTTCCCCCTCAGGCAAGGAACGCCTCCAAAAAAAAAAAACAAAAAAAAAACCGGTTTTTGTGCCTCATACTCACCGAATAAAATAAATTAGCTGAAAGATTGTGATCCCTCTGACTATTCCCTCGCCCACCTGGGATCTTCAGGGGTGGGTGAGGGACATCAGGAGCACCACCGAGGCCCCGGACCCAGGTTACTACAGCAATTGAAGGGAACCCTGGAACTGCAAAAGGCATCAAACAGTCACACAGGGACCCCACAAAGCATTGACACACTCATCAGATAGCGAGATTTGAAGAAATAAAGCAAGCTCAGGTCAAGGGGCTCCTCCCACCGCATGCCCAGCAAGGGGGGAGACAAAGGAGCCTCCAGAGCAGGGGCAGGAGCTGCTTCGTGCCCATAGAGCTGCTCCTGCAGTTTATGGAGGGAAAGACGGAGTCAGAGAGGAAAACTCATCCCAGTTTGAGGTGAGCCAGGTGTGTTTCTGTCCCAGGCCAGGCCTGAGGTGATCTCAGAAGAGCCACTCTGCAGGAATGTGCTGTGTCCTCACTCAGCACAAACCCCAGCCCAGCAAAACAAGGCTGGTTTTTTTTTTTCCCCTGGGATATCCAGCCCTGGTTACCTCAACCCTTCCCACCAGCACTCCCAGCTCCAGCTCAGGTACCTCCACGAAATATTTCAAGCAGGGACATCTGCGAGATCATCTCCACCACACTGAGGAGCCCTGAGCTGAGCCCACACCTGAACACCAGCAAACCTCCAAACCCCTTTTGCCACCGAATTCCTCGGGGCACCAGGAGGGGAAAGCATCGAGTTTCGAGGATGCAAAGCTCTTTTTTTTTTTTTATTAATTTTTTTTTTTTTTTTGGAAGTTCCTGCCCACCCTCCGGAGCCCGTTTAACTCCTCCCGTGGCAGAGCAGAGCTGGCCCCTCCCTCTGCACCATCCTTCACCCGCAGGCTCAACTCTTGAGTTGCGTCATCTCAGCAGATGCAGCAATCGAGGCCCTTGGGGAGATTTTCACAATCGTCCTGTCTCGAGTGCCAGGAGCCACTGCAGCCATTTGCAAATCCGAATAAACAGCTCCAAAATAAGCCTCCATTTTGCACCCCTCGGCACGGCGGTTTCAGCGATTTTGGGGTGGTCGTTTTGGGTTTTTGTTTTTGTTTTTTTTTTTTTCTTTTAAGGAGCTTGAAACTTGTGATGGATAATCCGTATTAGAAAGGCTGGGAATGAGCAGTGAGGGGAAATATGTGCTGGAAGCTAAATTATATATATATATCTTAAAAAATGATCTATATAGAGCGATTACAGGTTTTTACTAAAAATTTGTATTTTAAATTTTACATTTACTTAATATATTTATGTTTATTTCGTATATTTTGAATATAAATTTCGACTTTATTTAGCATATTTATTTAACATAATATATTTATATTTAATATATTTATTTAATAGAAAATATTTATTTAAAAATATAGATTTTAACTTTATATTTGCATCTGTTTTACGCACATTTATTTTAGATATTCATTTAAAACATACGTTTTTAACTTTGTTGTTTAGTTGACGCATGTTTATTTTATACATTTATTTAAAAGGTAAATTTATACTTATGTATCTTTGACGCATATTTATTTTATATATTTAAAACAAATTTGTTCCTTCCACATTTCTTTTACGCATATTTTATATATTTATTTTAAACATGTTTTACCTTTGTTATTAACTTATTTAATGTATCTTTATATGTGAAATTTTAACTTTATATATTTTTACATATATATTTTCAACTTTCTATGTTTAATATATCTATATATTATATTTTATACAGAACTATTTAAAATCTAAAATTTCAAATTTTTTTTTTTTTAATTAAGTGTTCAATTTTAGGCTGTTTAAAAGCCAATTTTCTTTGGTACCAGCATTATTTATTTCATATCCCGGTGACTGTAAACTGTACATCCCTGCTCTCCCTGACAAATAAACCTTTCAACACCCTTTTCAGGAGGGTGCAGCAGCAGTCCCTGTCACAATTTCACCTTTCTCCCCCACAAAACGTGGTGCAAAATGAAGGTTTCCAGCCACGAATACATTTCAGAGCGATGTTTACGTGCGTTTACGCCTCTTGGGAAGTAAAAAAAACCCACCTTTATACCGCAGGCGAGTATAAAAAGGGCGAAAAATCTCCTTTCGCAGCCCACACAGGAGGCGCGAAGGGCAGATCGGAGCCCCGAGCACCCCCAGTCCCCCCCCAATTCAGGTATTTTCCTTCCTCCCAGCACCTGTGGGGGCTCTTTAATCTTTCGGGGCAGTTTGGAACCACCAGCTCTAACACCCTTACCCTCGATTAGTTCTCCGCAGTGTCCACGGTTACATAAAGGGGATAAATCCCCTTCAATCCTTCCGTATCTTTGCCTAATTATTGCTTCCCCCCCCCCCCCCCCCCCCCCTCAGCCCTGCTGGTGTCGCCGGTGCCCTCAGGGGTACCGAGATAGCCCCAGGGGGCCAAAAAACACCTTTTTCTCTGGTGGGTTTTTTCCACTCTCCCCTCCCGCCTTTGCCCACACACAGGGCGGGGGCCAGGCCGCCCCTCCCCCGCCGCCCACGGGGCCTCCCCCACACCCTCCGCGGCCACCGGGGAGGCCACTGGGCACGGGGACAACGAGGAGGAGGAGGAGGAAGAAGAAGGCAGCGAGCGCCCGGCGGGTGCCAAGGCTGAAGGAGGCCGCGGCCCCTCACCTGCTCTGTCCGGTACTGAGGCTCAGCACAGCGGGCATGATGGTGCTTTTATTCCCCTCTTTCTCTCTAGCGAAGCAGTGGCTGTTGAGTATCCGTTGCAGGGAGGATTTCACCATCCGGCCGCTCTGGTCCGAACCCCGAAACCCTCCGCCGCCTCCGCCCGCCGCTCCCCAGGCGCTGCTACACAAAATGGCACCGCGGCCGCAGCGGCTCCTCATATACCCTCCGACGCCACGCCCCCTCGCTGAGACCACGCCCCTCCCCGCGAGACACTCCCCCAAAAAGAGACGCCTCTCATTGCAAGGCGCGGGTGTCAATCAGAAAATGCCGCTTTCTATTGGCTAAAAGGAGAGAGGGGGGCGGGACGGCGAGCACGGGTTAGCAGGGGAGGCGGGGGGGTAACTGAGCGTTGTGATTGGCTGTGCCTGCCGCGGGTGGGCGGGGCCGGCGGGGCTCGGGGCAGCGGGCGCCTCGCAGGTCTCACTGTCCCCGGAGCCGCCGGTTCGAGTCCCGCGCCCCGCCCGGCTGAGGTAACCGGGGAAGGGAGGGCAGGGAGGGAGGGAGGACAGGGGTGGAGAGACTTGGAATGACTTGGAAAGGCACGGAGAGACAGGGAGGGATTGGGAGGGACGCGGGGGCTTCGCACGGTGCAGCCCCGGGGGTGGAGGGGCAGCAGCGGGACCCCCTGAAGGGACAGCGCCGCCCTCCCCGCCGTGCGTGGAGCTTCACGCTGAGGGAAAAGTTGGGATAAAAAACACCAGTGGAACGCCTCGAGGAGGGCGAGAGGGCCTAATAAGGACGGGCTGCGGTTCTGATCTGGTTTTGGGGGGTGTTTGGGTTGCGGTCGCACCCCGGCCTCTCCTGGATGCCTTTGGACCGGATGGGTTATGGATTTATGGGGGAATGGGGAATGGCTGGTTTATGGATTTGTAGGGGAATAGCTGGTTAATGCGTTTACAGGAGAGCAGGGATGGGGAATAGTGGAGTTATAGTGGAATAAGGATGAGGAATGGCTGGTCTATGGATTTATAGGGGAGTGGGGATGGGGAATGGTTGGTTTATGGATTTATAGTGGAACGGTCATGGGGAATAGTTTATGGGTTAATAGGGGAATAGGGATGGAAATAATTGATTTGTGGATTTATAGGAGAATAGGGGTGGGAAATCACGTTAACTTGTGGTGGAACAGGAATGGGGAATGGTTGGTTTATGGATTTATAGTGCAATGGGGATGGGGAATGTTGATTTATAGTGAAATAGGGATTGGGAATAGTTTATGGATTAAGAGGGGACTAGGGATGGAAAATAGTTGGTTTATGGTAGAACAGGGATGGGGAATGGTTGGTTTATGGATTTATAGGGGAATAGGAATGGGGAATGGTTGGTTTATGGATTTATAAGGGAACAGGGATGGGGAATGGTTGGTAAGTGATGATCTTTTAAGCCAAGAAGGCATTTGGCTGTGCTTTGGTGAGGAGGTGGGTAAATCCTGGTTATTTACACAGCAGAAGTTGGGCTCATGCCCAGAACAAACATCCCCTGCCCTCTGCTTTCCATCTCCTGCCAGGAGGGTTGGAAATCTGGGCTTTGGGGCCGTGGTTGGGTCTTGCTGAAGCCCCACAGCAAGAACAGCCCGGAGGAAAAGACGGGAATTTGGAAAGGGGGCACCTCTTCTGGATGGGATTGATGGAAAAAAATGCATCTTCCTCCCTCTGGGGTGAGGGTCAGGCTTCAAAATGCATCTTAAAACAGCAAATAGGTCACAATTCCCATGACTTTGGGAACGAGGTCTTCGAACGAGCCACTTCTGAACGTGGCAGCCTGGAAACCGAGTCAGGAGCACACCAGGGGGCACCTCCTAAAAAGTGGATTTATCCTGTGTGGAGAGGAAGCTCCAAATAACGGTTTAAGTGATGCTGAATCGAGTTTTCAGGCAGGAATGCCTTGTAAATTAAGTGGGGAAAGGTGTTTACAGAGCCAAATAAAACTACTAGAGAGACACTGTAATGGTTATCACAATCATGGTTTTCTATAAACAAAATTGTAGATGACTGCATTTCTTTTTTTCTTCATTCAACTCGAGCTACCACACACTTATTTTATTGCCTTCAGGTGCCATGGCTGCATTTTTTTTAGTTGTTGGGGTGTTTTTTTTTTCTTTTTTTTTCTATCTTACTTATTTTTATTTGCTTTAAAATATTCCCATCCAGGAGCTCTGAGCACATGGATGACCCATTGATTGGTTCCACTTTGCAGAAGGGATAATTGTCTAAATCCCCACCCACCCCCCTGCGCCCTCTGATTGCCCAGGATGCAACAAAGTGGGTCGAAAAAGAAAAACAATGTTCTGCAGCTTTAGAGGAGAAGCCTGGCCTGGAGAGCGGCCGGGGAATAATCTGGGAATCATGGAAAGTAAGAGGTGCTGCAGGAACCCTCCCTTAACTCCCGCAAATGAGGCATCAGAGCTCTCACCTCGGGAGATTTTGGGTGTTGATTTACGGAGGGGAAAGCGCCTCGATTTTAACGCCTTACCCAGGGAACAGCTCGAAACAGCGGCATGGCTGCAATTCCAGAATATCCAGCCCCAAACGGAGCACGCGGGAGCAGATGCAGCAATCCACGCGCTGCGTTCCGAGGGGTTTTCCCGGTGGGGGCGGGTGGATGTGTTAGTGGGTGGAAGGGGCTGCATTAGCGCTGGGTGATAGACTTCGTTCTCCCCAGTAATGGCATTTATTATTCATGTGCTAATCCCGCTGTAATTCCTCCTGATGGCTCTGCGGTGGTGGAGGACTCATCTCATCCTCGCGGCTGTTTTTCCTGCCTGGGAACAGCTCTGGACTCTTTGAGTACCTGGCACCTCCGGGGGCCATCGCTCCATTTCACCGCCCAGCGCCCGCAGAGAGGCAAAAAGCAGCTCTGCAAAAGCCCCACCGCCCCGTGCTGGGTTTGTGTTAAATATCCCAGGGGATTAGTGCCAGCTGCAGTTTTGCTGAGGTGGCCTGGCCTCACTTCCCTTCAGCAGCGACAGTGATTCAGAAAACCCTCCCCGGGCAGCCTCTGACTCACCATTCCAGGATTACAGCTGAGGCACTCTGAGATGTTGCCATCCTCCAGCTGGGTTTTTACCCCTGGTCTGCCAGGATTGCCCTTTCCAGCTGTGGAGGGGTCACAGCTACCCCGGCTGCATCCCCAGTTCAGCATCCCAATCCCTGGAATTATCGAATTCAGGGAGCAGTGAGCCCTGACAGGTGATGTCTGAGCAGCCCTTCCTACTTGCCCACATCTGCTGTGGCACAGGAGCTTCCAACACATTGGGAAGATTCATAGAATCCCGGGATACCCTGAGCTGGAAGGGACTCCAGGATCATCCAGCCCTGCCCAGGACACCCCAACAATCCCCCCCTGTCCCTCAGAGCGTTGTCCAAACACTCCTGGAGCTCTGGCAGCCTTGGGGCCGTGCCCACTGCCCTGGGGAGCCTGGGCAGTGCCCACCACCCTCTGGGGGAAGAACCTTTCCCTGAGATCCATCCCAACCCCCCTGGCACAGCTCCAGCCCTTCC